TTTTAGTAGAGACGGGGTTTCACCGTGTTAGCCAGGATGGTCTCGATCTCCTGACCTCGTGATCCGCCCGTCTCGGCCTCCCAAAGTGCTGGGATTACACGCTTAAGCCACCGCGCCTGGCCGGCAGCAGAGTTTAAAGAAAAAAAAAAGGAAAAAAAGATTTTGGGGACTACTGGGCAATTTTAATATGGATTAAGTATACCATTATTATGTAAGAGACTAAAGGCATGTCAGTGGCTCATGCCTGTAATCCCAGCACTTTGAGAGGCTGACACTCGCAGATTGCTTGACCTCAGGGATTCAAGACCAGCCTGGGCAACAATGGTGAAACCCCATCTATACCAAAAATACAAAAAATTTGTCAGGCGTGGCGCACGTCTGTGGTCTCAGCTACTTAAGAGGCTGAGATGTGAGGATGGCTTGAGCCTGGGAGGAAGAGGAGGCTGCAGTAAGCCAAGATCACACCACTGCACTCCAGCCTGGGTATCAGAGTGAGACTCCATTTCAAAAAAAAAAAGAGTCATAATGTCTACAACGTACTTTCAAATGGCTCATAAGACAGACAGGCAGGGCAGGGTGCAGTGGCTGTAATCCCAGCACTTCGGGAGGCTGAGGCGGGTGGATCACGAGGTCAGGAGATCGAGACTATCCTGGCTAACACGGTGAAACCCCATCTCTACTAAAACTACAAAAAACTAGCCGGGTGTGGTGGCGGGCACCTGTAGTCCCAGCTACTTGGGAGGCTGAGGCAGGAGAATGGCGTGAACTGGAGGGGTGGAGCTTGCAGTGAGCTGAGATCGTGCCATGCACCACTGCACTCCAGCCTGGGCGACAGAGCGAGACTCTTCTCTTTCTCAAAAAAAAAAAAAAAAAGACAGGCAACAAAGAGGCAAAATGTTAACAATTGAGATAGAGTGTATTAGTTTTGCTGGACGCAGTGGCTCACGCCTGTAATCACAACACTTTGGGAGGCCGAGGCGGGGGATCACGAGGTCAGGAGTTCGAGACCAGCATGGCCAGCATGGTGAAACCCTGTCTCTACTGAAAATACAAAAAATTAGACAGGCATGGTGGTGTATGCCTACAGTCCCAGTTGCTTGGGAGGGTGAGGCAGGAGCACTGCTTGAACCTAGCAGGCAGAGGTTGCAGAGAGCTGAGACTGAACCAATGCACTGCAACCTGGGTGACGTGACAGAGCGAGATTCCGTCTCAAAAAAAAAAAAAGTTATTTGTTTTGCCACATTGTTCTTCTAATTTTTTTTTTTTGTGGATTTGAAAAACATTCCAGAAAAAAGTTAGAGGGAAAACAGTGTTTTCAATTGTCTGCCTTCAGAATTTTTTCTTGTCACTGAAGAATAAAACAAAACAAAGGCCGGGCGCGGTGGCTCAAGCCTGTAATCCCAGCACTTTGGGAGGCCGAGACGGGTGGATCACGAGGTCAGGAGATCGAGACCATCCTAAACCCCGTCTCAACTAAAAAATACAAAAAACTAGCCGGGTGAGGTGACGGGCGCCTGTAGTCCCAGCTACTCGGGAGGCTGAGGCAGGAGAATGACGTGAACCTGGAAGGCGGAGCTTGCAGTGAGCTGAGATCTGGCCACTGCACTCCAGCCTGGGCAACAGAGCGAGACTCCGTCTCAAAAAAAAAAAAAAAACCACAAAAATTTAGCCTGAGCAAGGTAGCAAGATCCCAGGTCTACTAAAAATAAAATTAAGTGGGCATGGTGGTGCACGCCTATAGTCATAGCTACTTAGGAAGCTTAGGCATGAGGATCACGTCAGCCCAGGAAACTGAGGTTACAGCAGACTACGATTGCGTCACTGCACTCCAGTCTGGGCAACAGAGTGAAACCTTGCCTGAAAAAAACAAAAAGTTGATTTATTTCACTTCGATTGTAGCAATAACCTAGGCACAATGACAACAAAAGTTGAAAATTTGAGGCCTTTGTTATAAAAATAGTGTTTGCAGGTGGGGCGCGGTGGCTCATGCCACCCACTTTGGGAGGCCGAGGTGGGTGGATCACCTGAGGTCGGGAGTTCAAGACCAGCCTGACCAACACGGAGAAACCCCGTCTCTACTAAAAATACAAAATTAGCCGCTACTCAGGAGGCAGAGGTTGCAGTGAGGCAAGATTGCACCATTGCACTCTAGCCTGGGCAACAAGAGCGAAACTCATCTCAAAAAAAAAAAAAAAAAAGCTCTTGCCTGTAATCCCCACACTTTGGGAGGCGTGGTGGGTGGATTACCTGAGGTCAGGAGTTAGAGACCAGACTGGCCAACATGGCGAAACCCAATCTCTACTAAAAACAGAAAAATTAGGCTGGGCGCGGTAGCTCACGCCTGTAATCCCAGCACTTTGGGAGGGCGAGGAGGGTAGATCACGAGGTCAGGAGATCCAGACCAGCCTGGCCAACATGGCGAAACCCTGCTTCTACTAAAAATACAAAATTAGCTGGGCGTGGTGGTGCATGTCTGTAATCCCAGCTACGTGGGAGGCTGAGGCTGGAAAATCGCTTGAAAGCACAAGGCAGAAGTTGCGGTGAGCCGAGATAGCGCCACTGCACTCCAGCCTGGGCAACAAGAGTGAAACTCTGTCTCAAAAAATATATACATATAAAAATTAGCCAGGCGTGGTGGCAAGGACCTGTAATCCCAGCTACTAGGGAGGCTATGGCAGGAGAATCAGTTGAACCCAGGAGGTGGAGGTTGCAGTGAGCCAAGATTGTGCCACTGCACTCCAGCCTGGGTGACAGAGTGAGATCCTGTCTCAAAAAAATAAATAAATAAAATAAAAGAGTCTCTAACAGTTCCATTCAAAACATAAGAGTGTCATCTCTTCAACATTCCTTATCTTTTAGAGACATTTTGGTTAGGGAATAATATACTTTTAGAATGCTACACACAAATAGTATAATTATGCCTGCTTAATGCTTAATAATAAATTACATGTTACCTAGCAATGTTACCAGCAGCAGAGACAATGGCATTCTGTGACACGGAGGCAACTCTGCTCATTCCTTGTCCATCTTGTCCCAAATCATACACCTGTGAATACAAATCATTCTCACTTAAACATGATTACATACTATACACATATTAATAAACTTTTCCTTTTAAGGGATCCTTTAATATTGGTATTTAAAACAAACATGAAAACATTCAGATTTGAAATTTCATAGAAAGGGGCCCCTTCTGAGAAGTGAGTTGGGCTTTTTTTTTTTTGAGATGAAGTCTTGCTCTGCTGCCCAGGCCGGAGAGCAAAGGCGCGATCTCAGCTCACTGCAACCTCCACCTCCCAGGTTCAAGCGATTCTCCTGTCTCACCCTCCCAAGTAGCTGGGATTAAAGGGGCATGCCACCACACCCGGCTAATTTTTGTATTGTTAGTAGAGGCGGAGTTTCATCATGTTGGCCAGACTGATCTCAAACTCCTGACCTCAGGTGATCCGCCCACCTTGGCCTCCCAAAGTGCTGGGATTACAGGGGTGAGCCACCATGCCTGGGAGGCTTTCTTTTTTTTTTTTTTTTTAATTATACAGTTCATAGGAAAAGTTTAAGAGGCAGGAACTGTCGGCCTTAAAAATAAGGATTTATATGACTCTTAATGGTATAATATTAATACTAACCTGTATTACTCCTTTCTCAGATCGTGTATATAAAATATTTCTAGAATTATCAATTGCAATTTGAAGAATAGGATCTAAAAGTAAGACAAAAAAAAAAAAAAAAGAGAAAAAAGCAAAGCCAAGGATTAACAAAGCAAATACATTAGCCACTTACAACAAACTGTTGAATCAGAACTTTGTATTCAGGGGCTTTCTACTCCCTTGCTTTGAAGTTAAATCCAAGGATGTTTGCACAAGATTCAGTCCAAAAAGCATTTTAGTCAGACAACACATGAAAAAAACATATGCTAAATACTGTGACTGGGTTACGAGCATAGAAAATAAGTTATTTTGTCCTCTAAATGAATTTTAAGCCAAATCGAAAACAAGTTCTAAGTTATTTCTTCATTCAATAATATTTAATGAATGTTTACTACATGCTAAAAATATGTAGAATAATTATACCTGGTCCTTTATGTTAAGAAACTTCCAGTTTGGCCTAACTGATTGTGTGAAAGAAAACAATTTAAAAATTTAGTCATACTAATCTTTGGGCATACTGATCTTATGTTGCCAAAGCATTTTAAAAATTATTTCACCTGTTTGAATCTCTCAGTTCATTAAAAGCTAAGATATATTATTTTTATATTGGAAATTTGTTCTAGACCAAGCAATGTATTAGCTGTCTGAATGTCTGTCTCTCTCACACACACACAGATATTTTGGTTTAAGTATGTACAGCTGTTTTAGACACAAGTTCTTTGATGCTACATTTATAGGAAATAAGTAAACTTGAGAATAAAATCCACACTTTCTCTGTTATAATCTCTTCTTACCCTTTAAAAGACCTTATGAATACCAAATGCTACTTAACATAACGAATTGTTTCAATTAAGAATGATAATTTCTGAAGAAAATGTTGAGGGAACAATATGTTAGAAATTAGTTTTATTTGCCAAATTTATTGTTTTCTACTTACCATCTTCTGAGAATGTGAATTGTAGCAAAGAAGGAACAAGGAAAGAAAGTGAGCTCTTTGAGTGGTTTATTTTCCTACATCTTTGGCTAAACCACCCTGCTTCAGCCTTAAAGAAAAAAATAGAAAGAAGACTTATAAAAGCATGTAACTCCCTTACAATAACGACTGTATATCCATATTTATAAAAACCTTCAAATCTTCATGAAATATCAGTTATAATCACTAATACCAGTTACAATCAACAAAACTAGACACATTATTCAAAATTAACTATGGAGTTTAGTCCATAATTTAAAATATCAACCAAATACTGACAAGGAAAGAATTTCAAGACATACTGTTAAATGAAAAGCCACTTATGGGCTGCGTACAGTGGCTCACACCTATAAATCCTAGCACTTTGGGAGGCCAAGGCACAAGGATCATTTGAGGTCAGGAGTTCAAGATCAGTCTAGCCAATATGATGAAACCCTGCCTCTACTAAAAACACAAAAATTAGCTGGATGTGGTGGTGGTGTACGCCTGTAATCCCAGCTATCAGGACGCTGAGGCAGGAGAACTGCTTGAACCCAGGGGATGGCGGTTGCGGTGAGCCAAGATTGAGCCACTGCATTCCAGCCTGGGTGATAGACCTGGGTAACAGAGTAGACTCCATCACATTAAAAAAAGGAAAAAGAAAAAGAAAATGAAAGCAATTATGAATTAAATCAATAATCCAAGTGAAAACATGTATTTGCAAAAGTACATTAGGTATTTGTGTATGCGTATACACTCCCAAACACATGTGCATAGATATCTATAGAGACACATACAGTGATGTCTGCTTTATGTTCCACAAGGACATACATAGAATTAATAATGACTTTTACCTCTAAGGAGAGGACTGAGTTTTGTAGGCATGGTGTAGTCATGGGGACTACAGCTTCACCTGGATGCTTGAATATTTGTCACAAAAATATATTAATGTCCTTACATAACTAGAAAACAAAATAAAAGCTTACTTTTCCCTACTTCATCAAGAGAGAGAGAAAAAAAAAACGTTTACAAATATCAGATTTACCTGGTAGGCTACTTCATATAAACAGCCATCCTTTCCAGCCAAGAAAATTCTGCCATTATCAGTGGAAGTTATTGTTAAAAGGTAAGTATTATCAGTAGGAAGAGAATATAAAGGATCTGGAAGCAACTGCATTCCACCAGACATACTATCATTAAGAACTCCAGAACCTATTTATTTTAAGAAAGAATACATAAATCAGTTTATTAGCTACTCTACAGTTTTTAAAAATCTTTGCATTATTGTCAGAATTGGTATGTTTACTCAATTCTTATTTACAACACAGTCAACAGCCTCTATAATATACATTTTAAAATTACTAAGTCTGATACAATTTGATAATTCAAGTGAAACAGAACCTTCTGTGTGTGTGTGTGTGTGTGTGTGTCTGTGTGTGTCTGTGTGTTTATTATATAGTAAAACAATAAACAAGAAACTAACCCAGCCAGTGCCGTGGCTCATGCCTGTAATCCCAGCACTTTGGGAGGCCGAGGTGCGTGGATCACCTGAGGTCGGCAGTTTGTGACCAGCCTGACCAACATGAAGACACCGTCTCTACTAAAAATAGTAAATTAGGTTGGACGCAGTGGCTCACGCCTGTAATCCCAGCACACTGGGAGGCCAAAGCAGGCAGATCACGAGGTCAGGAGTTTGAGAACAGCCTGGCCAACACAGTAAAACCCTGTCTCTACTAAAACTACAAAATAATTAGCTGGGTGTGGTAGCAGGCGCCTGTAATCCCAGCTACTTGGGAGGCTGAGGCAGGAGAATCGCTTGAATCTGGGAGGCGGAGGTTGCACTAAGCCAAGATTGCACCACTACACTCTAGCTCAGGTGACAGTGTGAGACTCTGTATCAAAAACAAACAAAATTAGCTGGGTGTGGTGGTGCATGCCTGTAATCCCAGCAACTCAGAAGACTGAGGCAGGAGAATCACTTGAACCCGGGAGGCAGAGGATGTGGTGAGCTGAGATCACACCATTGCACTGCAGCCTAGGCAACAAGAGGGAAAATCTGTCTCAAAAAACAAAACAAAACAAAACAAAACAAAAAAACTAAACCCAACATTAACTTGTGGAAAAGAGCCTGAAGATTTGGCACCAATAATCATTAATTTGAGTCAATGGAATTCAACATTTCACCCAGATTAGCTTTTAATTGTAATATCAATTGGCCAAAATATTATTTTAAAAAACATAACATGTGGGTTGCCATACCTGTTTGCAAATTAGCATAGCTCAGTCCAAGAATTACTATGTCTACAGGGGTCGCCAAAACCAGGAGGTGTCGTACATGAGGTTGAAAGATGCCTAAGATAAAGTAGACAAAGAGCAGGAAAACTTTCAGCATTTAAGCACTAACAGAGTAAGCTTTTATTACCATTAAAATGAGCTACTAATTAAATATTACTATGTACGATCATTTAAATAAGTAAATTTTGGATGTCATCAAGGTAATGAAGAGGAAAAAAAGTAAACAGCAGTGGAAAAGAACCACCTTAGAAAACAATCACTTCAGTATTTAATGCTGTTTAAAAAGTGTTATATTACAAAATAGTTTAAATGTATTAAAATACAAAGATGTATATTTGTATATCCGTGTTCATAGCAGCATTTTTCACAATAACTAAAAGGTGAAAACAAAATCCAAGTGTCCATTGATAGATGGATTTTAAAAAATGACATATATATACACACACACACACACACACACACAATGGAATACTACTGAACTTTAAAAAGTAAGAAAGTTGGCCGAGCACGGTGGCTCACGCCTGTAATTCCAGCAGTTTGGGAGGCTGAGGCAGGCAGATCACCTGAGGTCAGGAGTTCGAGACCAGCCTGGCCAACATGGTGAAACTCCATCTCTACTAAAAACAAAAAATTAGCCAAGTGTGGTGGCACGTGCCTGTAGTCCCAGCTACTTGAGAGGCTGAGGCAGGAGAATTGCTTGAACCCGGGAGGCAGGGGTTACAGTGAGCCGAGATCATGCCACTGCAACCCAGCCTAGGCGACAGAGTGAGAGTCCAGCTCAAAAAAAAAAAAAAAGGAAGAAAGTTCTGATGCATGCTATAACACAGATGAACCTTGAGGACATAGGTTAAATCAAATAGGCCAGTCACAAAATGACAAATATAGTACCATATGATTCCATTTATATCAAGAAACCTAGAATAGTCAAATTCTTACAGACAAAAAGTGGAACGGTTACTACCAACTGCTGAGGGAAGGAGGAACAGGAGTTTTTAGTTAATAGGCACAGTTTCCGTTTTATAAGATACATAGAGTTCTAGATACAGATGGTGGTAAAGGTCACACAATAACGTGAATGGACTTAATACCACTGAAGTGTTGGCTGAAAAACAGTTAGGATGGCAAAGTTTGTATTATGTGTATTTTACCATGATTAAAATATATATTATAGATTTCATTTTGAAATGTAAATAAAACCTAGAAAATTTTAGAAAATAAAACTTAGACCTATAGTTATCTACAAAAGAAAAGATTACAACCTTGATAACAGTATAGAGCAATATTTACACACTTATGCATCTCTTTTAGATTCTATGTAAAGGAAATACATTTGCTTTGCCTTTTTTTTTTTTTTTTTTTGAGACAGAGTTTCGCTCTTGTTGCCTAGGCTGGAGTGCTGTGGCTCAATCTCAGCTCACTGCAACCTCCGCGTCACGGGTTCAAACGATTCTCCTGCCTCAGCCTCCTGAGTAGCTGGGATTATAGGCATGTGGCACCACACCTCGCTTATTTTGTACTTTTAGTAGAGACAGGGTTTCACCATGTGGTCAGGCTTCTCTTGAACTCCCGACATCAGGTGATCGGCTGCCCCCCTCAGCCTCCCAAAGTGCTGGGATTACAAGAGTGAACGACCGTGCTCGGCCTCTTTTTTTCCTTTTTTTTTTTTTTTTTGAGACAGGGTCTTGCTCTGCTGCCCAGGCTGGAGTGCAGTGACACAATGAAGGCTTACTGCAGCCTTGTCCTCCTACACTCAAGCGATCCTCCCGCTTCAGCCTCATGAATAGCTGGGACTACAGGCATGTACTACCACGCCCGGCTAATGTTTCTGTTTTTTGTAGAGACAGGGTATCACCATGTTGCCCAGGCTGGTCTTGAAGTCTCAGACTCAAGTGATCTGCTCGCCTCAGCCTCACAAAGTGCTGGGATTACAGGTGTGAGCCACCACACCTGGCCTGAAAATATATTTTCAGTGCAAGTAAATAAATAGTGCATAAAACGTCAGTTTGGGTAGGGCATGGGGGCTCACGCCTGTAATCTTAGCACTTTGAGAGGCAGAGACAGGCAGATCACTTGAGGTCAGGAGTTCGAGACCAGCCTGACCAACATGGTGAAACCCTGTCTCTACTAAAAACACAAAAATTAGCCAGGCGTGCTTGGTGGGTGCCTGTAATCCCAGCTACTCAGGAGGCTGAGGCAGAAGAATCGCTTGAATCCAGGAGGCTGGGGTTGCGGTGAGCCAAGATGGTGCCATTGCACTCCAGGCTGGGCAACAGAGTGAGACTCCATCTCAAAAAAAAAAAAAAAAAAAAGTCTGTTTTTACTTCACTGAATATCTATAATTGCAAAATGGACATAATCTTAAAAAATTTTACTTAGGCCTTGAAAAAAGTGATTTTTGTCTATTATTTCCTCCAATAAAAAGGTACATTTGGCTGCGCAGTGGCTCACACCTGTAATCGCAGGACTCCGAGAGGCCAAGGTGAGTGGATCGCTTGAGGCCAGGTGTTTCAGACCAGCCTGGCCAACATGGCCAAACCACATGCAACTAAAAATACAAAAATGAGCCGGGAATGGTGGCGCATGCCTGTAATTTCGGCTATTCAGGAGCCTTAGGCAGGAGAATCACTTAAACCCAGGAGGCAGAGGTTGCAGTGAGCACTGAGGTGGCTCCCCTGTACTCTAGCCTGGGTGACAGAGTGAGACTCTGTTACAAAACAAGCAAACGCACTCGGGAGGCTGAGGCAGTAAAACTGCTTGAACCCGGGAGATGGAGGTTGCAGTGAGCCAAGATTGCACTACTACACTCCAGCCTACTCGATGGAGCAAGATTCCATCTCAATAAAAAAAAAAAAAGGTGTGTTGTTGTTCAGGTCTATACCATTTGGAGTTTACATATACAAACACAATCTCTTCCTTATAGCTGTATTTCTTACCAGCTTTTGGTTTCACAAGCCCCACAGCAAGAATAGTCTCACTAAGTCCATCAAAATAGGCAAGGTCTCCTCTGTGAACAAATGAAGAAAAACATGTTACACATATAAAGCAAACAGGCCAGATGTGGTGGCTCACGTCTTTAATCCCAGTACTTTGGGAATCTGAGGCAGGAGGATTGCCTGAGCCCAGAAGTTCCAGATCAGCCTGGGCAACACAGTGAGACTCTGTCTCTACAAAAAAGAAACAAAAAATTAGCCAGGCATGGCAGTGTGAGGCCACTGAGGTGGGAGGATCTCATAGGCCTGTGAGGCTGAGGCTGCAGTGAGCAGTGATCATGCCACTGCACTCCAGCCTGGCTGACAAAGTGAGAGCCTGTCTCAAAAAAGAAAAGAAAAGAAAAACAGAAAACAAAGTGTTATCTTACAGTGCTCTTTATTATTATTATTACTATTATTTTTGAGACAAGGTCCAGCTCTGTCACCAAGGCTGAAGTGAAGTGGCACCATCTTGGCTCACTGCAATCTCCACTTCACACCTGGCTAATTTTTGTATTTTCTGTAGACAAGGTTTGGCCATATTGCCCAGGCTGGTGTTGAACTCCTGAATTCTCTTTATTAGTGAAATAAATTTAGACACAGAATATAATGAAAAGACTGGCCAGGCATGATGGCTCACACCTGTAATCCCAGCACTTTGGGAAGCTGGGGTGGGCATGTCACAAGGTCAGGAGATTGAGACCATCCTGGTCAACATGGTGAAACCCCATCTCTACTAAAATACAAAAAAAATTAGCCGGCCATGGTGGCGCACGCTTGTATTCCCAGCTACTCAGGAGGCTGAGGCAGGGGAGTCGCTTGAACCAGAGAGACGAAGGTTGCAGTCAGCTGAGATCTTGCCACTGCACTCCAGCCTGGGCAACAGAGTGAGACTCAGTCTCCAAAAAAAGCCAATGAAGACCAGGAGCGATGGCTCACGCTTGCAATCCCAGCACTTTGGGAGGCTGAGGTGGGCAGATCACCTGAGGTCAGAAATTCAAGACCAGCCTGGCCAACCCGGTGAAACTCTGTCTCTACTAAAAATACAAAAATTAGCCAGGTGTGGTGGTGCATGCCTATAATCCCAGCTACTCGGGAGGGTGAGGCAGAAGAATCACTTTAACCCAGGAGGTCGAGGCTGCAGTGAGCCGAGATCATGCCACTGCACTCGAGCCTTGGCAACGGAGATCCTGTCTCTAAAGAGGAAAAAAAAAGGGGGTCCAGGCACAGTGGCTCACACCTGTAATCCCAGCACCTTAAGACTCCGTCCACAAAAAAAAAAAGGGAGACAGAGACAGAAAGTGGAAAAACAAAAAACAGAATGGAGCATCCAAAATGAGGTATGTAACAAAAGTACAGCTGAAATCTCAGAAGAGAATGTATCAGAATATTTCAAGACAATGACTGGGCCAGGTGCAGTGGCTCATTCCTAAAATCCCAGCACTTTGGGAGGCCAAAGAGGGCAAAACACTGGAGGTCAGGAGTTCAAGACCAGCCCTGGTCAATATAGTGAAACACCATCTCTAATAAGAATACAAAAATTAGCCAGGTGTGGTGGCCCGCACCTGTAGTCCCAGCTACTCCAGAGGCTGAGGCAAGAAGTATTTGAACTCAGGAGGCGAAGGCTGCAGTGAACCAAGACAGTCCACTGCACTCCAGCCTGGGTGACAGGGTGAGACTCCATCTTGGAAAAAAAAAAAAAAAAAAAGACAACGGCTGAACAGAAAGTAAAAGAGAAAGAGAGAAAAATAAAAATAGCTGAAAAAAATTCTAAAAATAGTAGAAGATATCAAACTAAAGATCTAAGAAGCTCACATGAAGCAGAAAAAATACCACAAAAAAAATATGATCCAGACTTTCAAGAAAGCTTTCAGTCACCCTGAAAAGGCCATCCACACAGGAACAAAATAGCCAAATGGCAACTTATGTGGACTAGGATTCCCCATCCTCCTACATCATGCCATCCCACAGGGCCCTTTGATAATTGGCACAGCCTCTTGAAACTATGATCCAATGCTGAGATAGCTGGGGGTTAGAGAACAATGAAATAACCAAGATTACATTTTTATCATCCAGATGGAATTAGGATTTATAATAGAAAGCCAATTGAATATTTAAGTATAAATTTTACAAAATTGAATTTATGGACCTATTACTTGTGCCTTCATTTTTTTAAATAAGTTCATTCTTCAAATAATTTTTCTTTAAATGAACACACACTGCTATGGATCAAATATCTGTGTCCTCCTAAAATGCAGGTTAAATCCTAACTCTTAATGTGACAGTATTTGTAGGTGGGACCTTTGAAAGGTTATTAGGTCATGAGGGTATACCTCATGAATGGGATTAGTGGCCTTATAAAAGAGGACCCAAAGAACTCCCCTACCCCTCTGCCATGTGAGGACAGAGTGAAAAGATAGCCGTCTATGAACACGGAAGTGGGCTTTCACCAGACCTTGATCTTGGACTTCCAGCTTCCAGAACCATGAGAAATAAATTTCTGCTGATCATAGACTATGGTATTCTGTTTTAGCAGCTCAGACTAAGACACACAGTAAGGTAGGACTGTTTGTTCCATGAGGGCAGAACCACATTCATCTCATTCAGTACTGTTCCTACCACAACAAGAGTGTCAGATACATAAGATCAATATGTATGTGTTAAATAAACACGTTGGATGTTAATGGAAATGTAAAAAATTTCATTAAAGTGAAAACATGTTTTTTTTTTTGAGACGGAGTTTTTGCTCTTATTGCCCAGGCTGGAGTGCAATGGCACAATCTCAGCTCACCATAACCTCTGCCTCCCAGGTTCAAGTGATTCTCCTGCCTCAGCCTCTCGAGTAGCTGCGATTACAGGCATGTGCCACCATGCCCAGCTAATTTTGTGTTTTTAGTAGAGATGGGGTTTCTCCATGTTGGTCAGGCTGGTCTCGAACTTCCGACCACAGGTGATCCGCCCGCCTTGGCCTCCTAAAGCGCTGGGATTACAGGCGTGAGCCACCACGTACAGCCGAAAACATGTTTTAAAGAAAATAATTATTCTCAAATGTATCTGTTCTGTAATATTTTTGCATTGACTTCTCTTGAAAAGATACATACCTAAACAAAAAGGTTTTATATTTAGCATAAAAATGAATATGTTGGCTGGGTGCGGTGGCTCACATCTGTAATCCCAGCATTTTGGGAAGCTGAGGCAGGCGGATCATGAGGTCAGGAGATCAAGACCATCCTTGCTAACACAGTGAAACACCATCTCTACTAAAAACACAAAAAATTAGCCGGGTGTGGTGGCGGGCGCCTGTAGTCCCAGCTACTCGGGAGGCTGAGGCAGGAGAATGGCGTGAACCCGGGAGGCGAAGCTTGCAGTGAGTGGAGATCACGCCACTGCAGTCCAGGCTGGCTGGGCGACAGAGCGAGACTCCGTCTCAAAAAAAAAAAAAAAAAAAAAAAAAAAGTTATGGTAACATAACAAAGTGGGGAACATTCAGGGTACATGAAAAATAATCACAACCACACATCACTGCTATTACAACTATTACATTTCAACAAGAAAAACTGCTATCAAACTTCTAATAGAAAAAAAATTGTTTCATTTAAGCTATAGGTATTAAGCTGTCATTTAGCTTCAATTTTGTTTCAATAATACAGTGTTTTGTTGCTGTTTTTGAGATGGAGTCTCGCTCTGTCGCCCAGGCTGGAGTGCAGTGGCACTATCTCAGCTCACTGCAACCTCCGAGGTCTCCCCGGTTCAAGCAATTCTCCTGCCTCAGCCTCCCTAGTGGCTGGGACTACAGGCATGTGCCACCACACTCAGCTAACTTTTGTATTTTTAGTAGAGACAGGGTTTCTCCATGTTGGCCAGGCTGGTCTCGGACCCCTGACCTCAGGTGATCCACCCGCCTCGGCCTCCCAAAGTGCTGGGATTACAGGCATGAGTTACCATGCCTGGTCGATACAGTGTTTTTTTTAATGCACATGTGTTCCTAGAAAGATCATTAATTACTTAAGAGCAAAAGTAACACCTTAATTATATGGGCTTTCCTATGTTTATCCCACACCTCATCTAAGGATAATATAATGGACAACTGGAAGTAAAACAAAATCTATCTCTAAAAAGTCAACAGGGAGATCACCAGACCAATATGCTATATTTAAGCAAAAGTACCTCAGGCTTTCACTCAGAATCATTTCTATACATGTAATTTACACACAGGTCAAATTTGCAAAATGACAACAAAATAAATAAATATCAGATGCCTACTCCATAGAAATGTAAGGAAAACAGAACTCTTTAAAAATGTCCAATCATCTCTCAACGAATTGCCAACATCTATTTTTACTACAGGCTAAAAGCTTGGGACCTGGGCTCCTGCTACTCAAGAATGCCACCTACACCAGCAGCAGCAGCTGGCAGTTTGTTACAAATGCAGACTCTGGAGCCTCACTCAGGACTACTAAAACAGAATGCACATTTGAACATCCCCAGATGATGGATACTGAGCAGCATACTGAGAAGCACTGACCCAAAGGCTAGATGAATGAAAGATAAACCAAGCAGCTTCTAATGAGAACACTAGCTACAGTAAAGTTTATATAAATTCCAATCACCCTTAAAGCAAACCAGCCTTAAATACATACCCATCCTCATAGTTCCACATGAATATATCACTGTCAATCGTGAGCCAAGCTCTGCTGATAGGAGGGAACACACCCATCATGCAATTACACTGCATATCTGAGGCAGTGTGGATGTAAGGCAGACAGAGTTGAATCTTATTTTTCTTTAACTTGTTTCAATAGCTTTTGACTTAATATTTATGTAAAAAATCACTATGTGTCCACTCTTTAATACAACAAAGAACCCATATACTTAAACATATTTTAAATAAAACCCTTAAATAAATTGATATACAACACATTAATTAAACATAGAACAAGAATTATAACAATGAAAAATACCAATTTTAACATTTTTAAAATAAATACAAAGTAATAGGATACGTCCAAACTGCTCAACAAGTTCAGGTGGGAGAGGAACTCTTCGGATGGAACTGATCTCTGGAAGGTTGGGTACGGACAGCAAACCAGGTCCTTGTAAAGGATAATCCATATCTGACATGCCAGAAACAGTGGGATTATCTACAAAAAGAAAATGAAGCATTTATAATAAAATACTGTTTATCAACTGGGCATACGAAAGGACTGAGTGTCACAAAAAAATTTCGTGTGCTGGTTCCAAAGGTACAGAGAGAATATACTAGTTTTGACCCGACACAAAGTAGGCCTGAAATATTCCATTGTTAAGGTAGGAACAGTTACTGGTTTCAGGCCTGAAGGGAAAGTTGTATCTCACAAAAACTTGCTCTATAACAAAGGAATGTTTAAATTTGATAATTTAGTGTTATTTTAAAATAAAAGTGGCTGGGCGCAGTGGCTCAAGCCTGTAATCCTGGCACTTTGGGAGGCTGAGGCAGGAGGATCACGAGGTCAGGAGTTCAAGACTACCCTGGCCAACATGGTGAAACCCCGTCTCTACTAAAGACACAAAAAATTAGCCAGTGTGGTGGTGTGTGCCTGTAATTCCAGCTACTTGGGAGGCTGAGGCAGGAGAATTGCTTGAACCTGGGAGGCGGAAGTTGCAGTGAACCGAGATTGGGTCATTGCATTCCAGCCTGACTGACAGGGCAAGACTATCTCAAAAATCATAATAAATAAATAAATAAATGAATAAAATGAAAGCATGTAATTGTATTGTCTGTAACACAAAAGATACATGCTTGAGAGGATGGATACCCCATTTTCCATTACGTGATTATTTCACATTGCATGCCCGTATCAAAACATCTCATGCACCACATAAATATATACACCGCCGGGCGCGGTGGTTCACGCCTGTAATTTCAGCACTTTGGGAGGCAGAGGCAGGCCGATCACGAGGTCAGGAGTTCAAGACCAGCCTGGCTAACATGGTGAAACCCCATCCCCACTAAAAATACAAAAATATTAGCCAGGCACAGTAGCAGGCGCCTGTAATCCCAGCTACTCGGGAGGCTAAGGCAGGAGAACTGCTTAAACCTGGGGGGCAGAGGCTGCAGTGAGCCAAGATCATGCCATTGCACTCCAGCCTGGGTGACAGAGCAAGACTCCGTCTTGGGAAAAAAAATACATATATATGTATACACACACACGCCTACCATGTACCCACGAAAATTAAAAATAAAAAAATTTAAAAATAATAATTTAGTGTTTTCCTCTCATTTTGCTAATCTGAAATGGGAAAATATAAAACTGCTTTGGGGCTCAAAGGTAAAATGACTGTGAGCAAACAAAATAATGACTGGGGGAAAATACTGCCTTTACCAGCTAAACATTTACAGATTAAAATAACCCATGACTTTTCCCTTTAGATTTCTCCCCCAGACCACTAAGACAAATACAAATAATACCCCACAAGAAATATCTTATTGGGGGGAAAAAAAGAAAGACTGCTGTATAAAGTGTTCTCATCAGACAACCTTTCTCTTGCTCTAAGACTCAATCACTAAGGACAGGAGTGGGCTGGTCTACTCAGCCTATCCCTGCTCCCAGACAAGGTGTTATTTAGACTTGACTGATGACCTAATTATCTCAGGCACTTTTTCAGGTTCTATAGAGTAGAAAGATGTTAAGGAAAACTGACATATAAAACAATTTTCAAGTGTATTATGGAAATTTTAAAAATATATACAAGAAAAATACAATCAATACCTATGTACGGATTATCCAACTTAATAACCAGTAATACCCCCAATCATGTTTCATTTTTATCATTGTTCACTCCTTCCCCAATGCATTCTTTTTTTATTTTTATTTTTTGAGACGGAGTCTCGCTCTGACGCCACGCTACAGTGCAGCGTTGCGATCTCGGCTCACTGCAACCTCCGACTCCCTGGTTCAAGGGATTCTCCTGCCTCAGCCTCCCGAGTAGCTGAGATTACAGGCACGCACCACCACATCCAGCTAATTTTTGTAGTTTTAGTAGAGACAAGGTTTCACCACGTTGGCCAGGATGGTCTTAATCTCTTGACCTCGTGATCCGCCCGCCTCAGCCTCCCAAAGGGCTGGGATTACAGACATGAGGACCGCACCCGGCTGAATTCTTTTTCTTTTTTTTTTGAGACGGAGTTTCCCTCTGTTGCCTAGGCAGGAATGCAGTGGTGCAATCACAGCTCAAGGCAACCTCAGCCTCTTGGGCTCAAGCAATCCTCCACCACAGCCTCGTGAGTAGCTGGGACTAAAGTGTCATGACACCATGCTTAGCTTTTTTGTTGTTGTTTTTTGGGTTTTTTGTTGAGATGGACTCTCGCTCTGTCACCCAGGCTCCAGCGCAATGGCAGCTCACTGCAACCTCTGCCTCCCAGGTTCAAGCGATTCTCCTGCTTCAGCCTCCCAAGAAGCTGGGACTACATGAGCATGCCACCACACTCGGCTAATTTTTGTATTTTTAGTAGAGGCAGGATTTTGCCATGATGGCCAGGCTAGTCTCGAACTCCTGACCTCAAGTGATCCACCCACCTCCATGTCCCAAATTGCTGGGATTATAGGCGTAAACCACTGCACCCAGCCAAACAGCATTTTTCTTTTTTCCTTTATTTTTTTTGAGAAGTCTTGCTCTGTCACCCAGGCTGGAATGCAGTGGCACGATATCAGCTCACTGCAAGCTCTGTCTCCCAGGTTCATGCCATTCTCCTGCCTCAGTCTCCCGAGTAGCTGAGACTACTGGCACCCGTCACCATGCCCGGCTAATTTTTTTGTATTTTTAGTAGAGACGGAGGTTTCACCATGTTAGCCATAATGGTCTCATCTCCTGACCTCGTGATCCGCCCGCCTTGGCCTCCCATTTCTTTTGAGAAGGGGTCTCCCTCTATCGCCCTGGTTGGAATACAGTGGCGTGATCTTGGCTCACTGCAACTTCTGCCTCTCGGGTTCAAGCGATTCTCCTTTCTCAGCCTCCTGAATAACTGGGATTACAAGCGCGTGCCACCACAGCCAGCGAATTTTTGTATTTTTAGTAGAGACGGGGTTTTACCACGTTGGTCAGGCTGGTCTTGAACTCCTGACCTCGTGATCTGCCGCCTCAGCCTCCCAAAGTGCTGGGATTACAGGTGTGAGCCACCGTGCCTAGCCATTTTTTGTAGAGACAAGGTTTAGACATGTTGCTCAGGCTGGTCTCAAGCTCAAGTGATCCTCCCTGCTTCTGGGTCCCAAATTGCTAGGATTACAGGCACGAGGCACAGCGTCAGGCTTTTTTTTTTTTTTTTTTTTTGGGACAGGGTCTCACTCTGTTGCCCAGGCTGGAGTGCAGTGGTGCAATCACAGCTCACTGCAGTCTTAACCTCCCCATCTCAGGTTATCCTCCCATCTCAGCTTCCCAAGTAGTTGGAGGTCCAAATGTGTGCCACCATGCCAAGCTAATTTTTGTATTATTGTATTTTTTTTTAAGTGGCTGGGTTTCGCCATATTGCCAAGACTGGTCTCAAACTCCTGGGCTCAAGTGATCTGCCCACTTTGGCCTCCCAAAGTGCTGGGATTACTGGGCTGAATTCATATTAAAGCAAATCCAGGCTGGGTGCAGCGGGTCACGCCTGTAATCCCAATGTTTTGGGAGGCCGAGGTGGGCGGATCACATGAGGTCAGAAGTTCAAGACCAGCCTGGCTAACACGGTGAAACCCTGTCTCTGCTAAAAATAGAAAAATGAACTGGGCCTGGTGGCACACACCTGTGATCCCAGCTACTCAGGAGGCTGAGGCAGGAGCATTGCTTGAACCTGGGAGGCAGAGGCTGTAGTGAGCCAAGATCATGCCACTGCACTCCAGGCTGGGTGACAGTAAGACTCTGTCTCAAAAAATAAATAAATGAATAAATAAATAAAGCAAATCCAGACATCCCATTTAATCCTAAAACATTTAACTTTAATAGGCCAAAGGTGGCAGATCACTATGTTAAATGGCAGTGGGAACACAGAGGGAGGGATTGATAATTTTAGTGAGGATGGGAATAGTAAGAAAGACTTCAGCCCAGAAGTGCGACTCACATCTGTCATCTCAGCACTTTGGAAGGCTGAGGTAGGAGGACTGCTTGATGCCAGGAATTTGAGACCAGCCTTGTCAACAAGAGTGAGACTATGTTTCTACATAAAAATTTAAAATTAGCTGGGTGTGGTGGCAGGCGCCTGTAGTCCCAGCTACTGGGGAGGGCAAGACGAGAGGATCACTTGAGCTCATGAGTTAGAGGCTGCAGTGGGCTGTGATCATGCCACTGCACTCCGGCCTGGCAACAGAATTAAAACCAGACTCAAAAAAAACAAAAAAAAAAAACAAAAAAAAAAACAAAAAGAAAGACAACAAAGAGAAACTAAGGACTTTCACAGGGAGTCTGGAAGAAGTTTGTTAGGCAAAGAAAGAACATTGCAGAATCAATAAAAGTAAAATAAAATCCTGAGGAAATCCTGAAGATGGGCTTCTTATGGAAAATATGATAAATTCTCTGTAATCAGAGCAAGGGGTGAAGAATCGGAAAAAAAAGAGGGGAAAGACATTGGGTGAAAGAGGAAGGTGAGTGTAAAGACATGAGATATGTAAGAGGAGGACCAGAAAGTATGCACTGTTTTTATATATTTTTACACCTAAGGAGGCCAAAGTGAGTAACGCTGTTCAAGATGACAGTTGCTAACAGGCCAATGAGGTATTATAAGACACGCTCATTGGTAAGTAGCTGTAGGGAGAAAATACTATCGTTGTTTCTATCATTTCTTTGATTACAAAGCTATCAATGATGTTTATAAATAATCAGAAGTAGACCAGGCACGGTGGCTCACGCCTGTAATCCCAGCACTTTGGGAGGCCGAGGTGGGCGGACCACGAGGTCAGGAGATGGAGACCATCCTGGCTAACAGGATGAAACCCCGTCTCTACTAAAAAATGCAAAAAATTAGTCGGGCGTGGTGGCCGACGCCTGTAGTCCCAGATACTCAGGAGGCTGAGGCAGGAGAACGGGGTGAACCCGGGAGGCAGAGCTTGCAGTGAGCAGAGATCGCGCCACTGCACTCCAGCCTGGGCAAAAGAGCCAGACTCCGTCTCAAAAAAAAAACAATAATAATCAGAAGTGTTCTCGGTTTACACTGCACAAATTATCCTATTCAGATTATTTCGGTTCTTGCTCACCAACAATCTCTTTTCTTTCTCACACTTCTCTGGTTTTCTCCAAATTCCATCTCACAAAGGGGTAACTTTTTCTAGCAACTGATGTAATTCCATAAGCTTTGGGAGCTAGTCATAATTTAAAACTGTTAAACACTTTCCAGTCACCTCTATTGTCAACACATATTCTGCCTTACCCTCCCTGTACATGAGCACTGCTGATTTTCCTGTTCTCTTCCTTTATTCCACTGGTAGGTCTTTTAAGATCCTCCAGCATTTCATAATACACATCTCTACACACAATAAAGCGTTTCTTGGCGGGGGGCAGTGGCTCACCCCTGTAATCCCAGCACTTTGGGAGGCCGAGGCAGGCGGATCACTTGAGGTCAGAAGTTCCTGACCAGCCTGGCCAACATGGTGAAACCTCGTCTCTACTAAAAAAAACACAAAAATTAGCCGGGCGTGGTGGCGGGCGCCTGTAATCCCAGCTACTCGCGAGGCTGAGGTAGGAGAATTGCTTGAACACGGGAGGCGGAGGTTGCAATGAGCCGAGATCGCGCCATAGCACTCCAGCCCGGGGAGAAGAGGGAAACTCCGTCTCAATAAATAAATAAATAATAAATAAATAAATAAAAATAAAGCAAAGCGTATCTTTAAGATAACATGCTACAGTTCCAAATTAATGTCGTTTGCTCTTACGATCTACTCAAATACTAACAGGAGAAATGAACAAATTTAGAACTTGGATCTGAAGATGCTTCTCATATGGCCTTAGCCATAAACACTTGAGTGCGGCGAGAAGCTCATTAAGGTTGGGGTCTTTGCCTCTTTCTGCTTCAACTGGGAGCTTGCTCTTCGCTCTTGCCCTCTCAATTATCTACAATGAAGAAAGTGAGGAAAGGAAAAAACCTGAAAATAAGCTGCTTGCTGTTCTCCAAAAATGCAGCCAACAGTGCCATAAATCTCAGGATATCCTCGCCGGGACTAACGCTGGGGATAAGTAGCAAATTAGGAAGTCAGACGCGAGTCCTTTAGGCTGAGAAAGCAGGGTCACTATCACTCACTTGGGGCAGACACCATAAGCAACTCGGAAAGGTCCGGGTACATGCGGTCCTCTTGCAACTGACGGTCGATGAGCCGTCCAGCATTTTCCAGAGCTTCCTGCAGGGCTGCGGCCGATGTAGAGGCCGGCATCACTGCGCCCAGCAAAGAAGACGGCATCTCGGAAATCGTAGACACCAGGGTCCAGAAAAAGTCAAAAGCCAGGGAGAAACAAGACAAGATCCAAGAACTCAGCTTAGATCCGCCGCCAACGGCGCGCGCGCCAAACGAGCGCCTTGGCGCCTCCACATGACGCACTTCCGGCTCATATGGTGGGGGACTGGAAGACGTCATTCTGGCCTGGGAAGAGGAAGCTGTTGGGAGACGGCTAGAGGTTGGGGGTGGAGCGAAGAGTCTGCCGATGCTTTGCAGGGGGTTGAGGGTTTTCAGGTGTGGAAGGGTAAAAGTAGAGTAGGTTATTTAGGGAAGGGACGCAGGGAAGGAAGGGAAGGGAAGGGTAAAGGGGAGGGAACTGGGAAGGAGAGGGGCGGGATGGGGTTTGGGTGGGGTGGGGAGGAAGGAGGGAGGAGGGATACGCTAGGTGGGAGCTAGGTCGTGTGTCTGGCCTAGGAGACTGGTCTGGTTCCGTTGGTTTAAGCGCGTGCTCTACCTGAGTCTTGGAACTTCCCGCGTCGGAATGCCCTAACCGCAGCTATATGAGTGCGCGACTCCAAGTAACTGCTGTTATGAGAGTAAAGAATTGGTAGCTCCCTGTCACAGAGAGGGATATGGACCAATATCTCACTATATTCTTCACGGGCTTCAGTGTAAATTAGAATTCATCAGGCTTTTTCATTTGCATGTCGCTGTCTTTTGACTTTGTGGCCCCTTAGTATAAAATACGTGTTTCAGGTGGAGCTGAGTGCCGGTGGACCGCTGCCGGGCTTTATATCGTGGCAGAGAGACCCGCTTCATCTTTTCATTCCCAGCACTAGTACAGGAACTTGTATGAGATAGGAACCCAAGAGATCATACAATCCTAAGAAACTGAATACTTGCCTTGTGCCTGGTGCTGGGACTATCAAACTAACAAAATGTTTCCTGTCCTTAAGGTGCTTCAAGCAGAGACAAAGGACTTCACTATAAATTTTCTATTTGGGTAGGTATGAACTGTAGCAGAAGGATAGGAGAAAGCAGTGGGGTAAAAGAGGCTTCATTTACTACAGAAGGCAACCTGAGTGGGTAAATCAAAGCACTTTTTAGAAAGCTGTCCTTATTTAGAATCTCACCTAAGAGCTTCCAGTTACGTTCTTCAGAATTTAACAAATCAATAACTGAATTACTCTAAATTGGTCTTTTGCCATTTGAATTACATTTTTACTCCCTCAAAGACTTGACTATATTTCTGAAAATTGTAAGTTCTATGATGTTACCAAGCTACACTTAAAATTTGACATAGACAATATACCAAGAAAAACTAGATTTTTTCATTATTGTTATATAAATAGGCAGTTGGGTCTCTAGCTATCAGTTTATTTGGTATACCATAGATTGAAAAGTGGTGGCCTGGCACCGAGTTTGTTTTTAATTTGAGACAAAATACACAATTGAAAGTTTTCAACTCCACAAATTGGAAGATTGAACAATGTTGGTGTGATATTCCTGCATAGCAACAAAGCTCCCCAAAGTGTAATCTCACTAACTTAATTCATTGGCATATTGCCTGTGGCTGCTTTCCCACTACAACTGCTAAACCAAGTAGTTTACACAAGACTGCAAAGCCTAAAATACGGACTCTGGCACTTTACAGGAAAAGTTTGCTGACCTCTTCCTTAGAACATGTAATTATGAATTATTTTGGTCTTAGGACCCCCTTGATACCCTTAAAAATTATTCAGGATTCCAGAGAGTTTTCGTTACATATTGGTTGCATGTATTAATATTTGTGAATAACTCGGCCGGGCACGGTGGCTCACGCCTGTAATCCCAGC